TCAGCAATAAATATATATGTAAAATTGCATTAAAATAGAGAGGGTAAAATTGACATTTCAGTAATAATTTATAATTGCTGATTTTTTAAAATAATAATTGTAAAAAGGGTATTTGCGACAATATATAAATAGAGAAAAAATAGGTTTTTTTTGCTGGGACACGTGGCGCAATATAAAGGGGTATCTCATAAAAGTTTAGAACATGGTATCTCACCCTAGAAAGACCCTACTTTTCTAATTACAAGTGATAAAATATTTGATGTCAATATTATTGTATGCAACATAGGACTATATAATAGTATTGAATACAAAAAATATAAACTATATTTATATTACACTAAATATATATTTGAATGTAAACAAGGATGTATATACAATGAAGAACTTAAATATTTAATTACTGTTAATTAAAAGGTTCATGATTATAATTCTAATTATTTGTTAAAATCATAAAACATGTTCAACATTAAAACAAATAATAAGTTATTATCAAATAAAGTACGTAGAATAACACCAATTTCATGAATTAGCCGCCGATTCCATGATAACAAGTTAAAACTAAATAAACCTAGACCTGGCAAATCTTGTGACAGTGTAACGTTTTAAAAACATTATTTCCAAGTATAAGAAGCTTCGGCAATTAAATGATTAATATAATCAGCAGACATATATAAAATATTGTTGCAAATTAAACGTTGGCGCTCTTCTAGATCGCAGCCCCTGTAGTTAAAAATCAACGCAAGTCAATATTCAAAGTAAACCGCGCGTTACTTTTTACCAATAACCAATTATAAATTAGCACAATATGAATGTAATTAAATAAATAAATAAAATAAAACGGTAACCACATTTTTTTATTCTTTGAAAGGTACCAAATTTATTTAAACAATATTAGAATATTATTCTCTTGTATCTATATATATATATATGGGTGCGCCACTTCAATTAATCCAACATCATTATATATTCTCATCAATCATCGTTCATCTCAAAAGAAAGAAAAAATTATAGTAGTATATAATTTCCCAATTTATCTTCTTTGTCTTAGTGAAAATTAAATAGTTGGGTGAAAAGGAGCAACAGTTATCGTACCCAATGGCACCAGCCAATGGCCACGGCCGGAGCGACGCGGAGGCGGGCGGCGCCGCCACAGAGCCGCGGAAGAAGAACCGGACCAAATGCTTTTTGTACATCGCTCTGTTCGTGATTTTCCAAATTGGTGTCATTACTATATTCTCTTTAACGGTGATGAAAATCCGAACCCCCAAATTCCGGATCCGCTCCGCCCATCTCACCAACTTCAACGCCGGAACTCCGGCGAGCCCTTCGTTCTCCGCGACGGTGAACGCCGAGTTCACCGTGAAGAACGCCAACTTCGGCCGGTACAAGTACAGGAACACCACAGTGGATTTCTTCTACAGGGGAACGCCGGTGGGCCAGGTTTTAGTGCGAGACTCGCGCGCCGGGTGGAGATCGACGAAGAAATTCAACGTTGCGGTGAATCTGAGTTTGACCAACGCGCAGGCGAATCCTCAATTGGCGAGTGACTTGAACGCGGGGGTAGTTCAGATAAGCAGCCAGGCTAGAATGAGGGGGAGAGTGGAGCTTATATTCGTGATGAAGAAGAACAAATCAACTGATATGAATTGCACCATGGAAATTGTGACTGCTACTCAGCAGCTCAGGAATATTCTCTGCAAATGATTCTTTCTTTGCTCATTAATTTCCACACATGTTTTTTTTACTCTGCATTAATTTATTTTATAGTTTTGAATTATTTTTCGCATTGTAATAAATCTTGTCATATATTCACATATTTACTTGCAGTATCAAATGTTAGAAAATGCATCTTTTTTTATGATATAAAAATTGAAAACCATAAAATTCGTGTCTAGACGTAAAAAAATTGTCTCCATTAAAAGATAGAAATAAAACACTAAAGAAATGAGTGAAAAACAAATAGGACATGCACTAATTACTAATTACTAATTACTAAAATAAAGTTTAAGCAATAGTTCATACGATATAGTCTAGTGGACCCATTGTTTGGAGTCCAATATTAATCGGACTAATTGAGGTTCAAAAGGCCCATTTAAATAGCTATAAATTTAAGCTAGGCCCATTTAAGGTCTACATATTGAATGGTCCATAAAAGTTAGGGTAAACTACAACCACCATCTAAAGTAATGTCAAATTACGAAAAAATCTCTCATGTTTGGGTAATTACAATTATCCCTCAACTATGAATTTTCTTACACGCCTAGTTTTACGATGCCAAATTTAGTTGAATTTTCTAAATTATATAGATATTCTCAAGTTTGTACTTGTTTTATCCTATTCAAACTCCACATTTTGAACGAGATGAACATAAAATGTGCATGACTTGTAAATATTAAATTGTGGTGCATCGAAAACTATAAATATATATTTATAGACAAAACAAGTATAAATTAGAGTACAATTTACGTAATGTAAAAATTCTATTGAATTTGACAATATAAGCCAATGCAAGAAACATCGTAGTTGATAAGTGATTATATAGCAGTTCCCAAGCATAAGAAAATTTACCGTAATTTGATTTTTCGCTCAAAAGGTGGGAAGCAATTTACCTAAACGTTACACTTGGCCCATTACGAACACATGAGTCAACTTAAATGGACTACAAGTCAAAATTCAAAGTAAGCCATCTTACGCGTTACTTTTAACCAAGAACCAACTCTAACACACACCACTATACGTCGTGTAAAACAAAAAAATTAAAAATAAAAAGAAAATGGTACCGACGATATACATATACAGTTTTATATAGTGCTAAATTGACTTCAAAACAATATTTGACTTTTCTTGTTTATACATAAGTGCCACTTCCAACTCAAGCAGTATTATCCACTCATTTCTCTCCAAAGGAAGAACATATATTTGCACAAACCAATCTTCTACCAAATAATTATTTTTAGTATACATAATTTCTCAATTTTTCTCTTATATTTATTTTATCAGTGAAAATTAAATAGATGGGTGAGAAGGAGCAACAGTTATCATACCCAATGGCACCCGCCAACGACCACGGCCGGAGCGACACGGAGGCGGGGGGCGCCGCCGCTAGTGAGCTGCACAAGAGGAAACGCACCCAATGTTTAATATACATCGGTCTACTCGCCATTATCCAAATTGCGGTTGTTATCGTATTCTCTTTAACGGTGATGAAAATCAGAAACCCCAGATTCCGCATCCGCTCCGCCCATCTCACCAACTTCAACGCCGGAACTCCGGCGAGCCCTGCATTCACCGGGAAGTTGAACGCCGAGTTCTCCGTCAAGAATGCCAATTTCGGCCGTTACAAGTACATGGACACCACCGTCGATTTCGTCTACAGGGGAACGCGAGTGGGCGAGGTTTTTGTGCGCGAGTCACGCGCCGGTTGGAGAACGACGAAGAAGTTCAACGTTGCGGTGGATCTGAGCTTGGCCAACGCGCGGGCGAATCCTCAGCTGGCGAGTGATTTGAACGCGGGGGTTGTGCCGATAAGTAGCGAGGCTAGAATGAGTGGGAGCGTGGAACTACTATTCGTGCTGAAGAAGAACAGATCAACTGGTTTGAATTGCACCATGGAAATTGTGACTGCTACTCAACAAATCAGGAATATTCTCTGCAAATGATTTTCTTTATTTTTTTATTTTTTTTATTTGAAGGTTTCTGTTTTGCATTCTTTTTCGATTTGTAATAAATATTGTCATATATTTTTTTTTGATAGGAATTGTCATATATATATTATATATATATATATACATATATACTTGCCAATTGAATTTAGGGTAAATTGCACTTAACCCCCTTGTGGTTTGGACATTTTGCACATGACCCCCTTATGGTATGAATTTAGGCACATAACCCCCTTGTGGTTTGGACATTTTGCACATGACCCCCTTATGGTATGAAATTAGGCACATAACCCTCTTATGGTTTTGAAATTTTGCACATGACCCCCTTATGGTATGAAATTAGTACATAACCCCCTTGAATAGAAAACATGAAAAGACTAAATTACCCCTATCAAGTTAAAAGTTCTTGTTTTAATTTAAAATTAATTATTCTATAAAAAGAAAAAGCTTAATGTATTTTTTTGTAAAATGAGAAATATAATATATTATTGTGGTTTTTCTATTTTACCGCATGTTGGGCTGCTAAATACCAACACGCAAGTGCACGTATCGCAAACAAGTAGTAAAAGTGGACTCGTGAGAGTCGGATGTCGATCCCACAGGGAATACGTAAATTATCTAATCCTAAGTACCAAATAATTCTAACAATTATGATTTTTATCCAGCCTACGCAAAGTTGTCAATTTTAATCAACTAAATAATTAAACTAATTACGAACGCAAATAAACACGAGAAGATATCAATAAAAACGGACCTAGGATTTTATCTTCCCCTATGCAAGAATTGCTCACCCAAAACCCCTCAATTATGAAATATATGATTCATGATTATTAACCCGAGACACTAATTTACTCATAACCCGCTGTCGCGTGTATTATGAGTCTATTATTCATAAACGATTCACTATATGTCCATGCAAACCAATTATAAATAAAGCATTAACTAACAAGTCTCGTAAATGGCTACCTAAGGTGATATCTGTATGTCTACGACACCACATGCAATTGACACACTCATCCGGTGAAAACTACTCGAAGGCTCTTCTACTTACCGTCTAATTATCAAAATAGCTCTGTCGAGTCAATCTCAATAATCACAGATAAAGCACATAAATTGATCAAGTTCATGCACTAACAATCATAACCAGTAGAAGAAATAATGATAAAATCATAATTGCATAATCTCAAGAAAAAGGGTTCGCAATCCCTACATAGGGTTCCAACAAAATCCTAGATTAAAAACTTAGCTACGCATGTTCTCTACGAAAAACATAATAAAAACATAAAAAGAATAGATTAAGAAAAGATAGGTGAAAGAAGAATTGTGATGAAGAGTTGTCAATTCTCCGTCTTCGATTCTTCGTTCTCTCGCTCCTCTCGCTCCAAGGTTGTGTCAAAAGTCCTCTTTGATTCGTGCTTGGTTTGGGCTTAAATAGATGTCCCAACTTGGTAGATGATTCTAGGTTTCCTTGTGTGTTTAAAAGTCCAAAATTGCCTCCAACGTGATTTGGCACGGCCGCGCGAAAATCAGTGCAATTCTCGCACGGCCGCGCGAGAATCGCCGAACCTTCTGCCCAAATTCAGCATTTGGCACGGCCGTGCCAAAAATAGGCTAATTTTGGCACGGCCGTGCGGGCCTAATTTCAGCATATTTTTGATTATTTCACTTTTGGCCCATATTTTCTCCAAATTTGCAGTTTTGACCCCAAACTTTTCCAATTCTTCAATTTATACCTAAAATACAATAAATCAACTTTTTAAGCACCAATTATCGTTAAATCACACCAAAAGCTCAAATAAAAAGGTACGATAAAGTATAAAAATATATACTTAACACCGCACATATATTTTTTTTTAAATTTAATTTTCATTTCAACTTTAGAGAAATGTTTTTTTTAGATTTTTTCAAAAGAATAAAAAAAATAAAGACTTTGTTTCTTTAAAAAATTAAAGTTCGATAATAGTTATAATATAATATATTATATAGAAAATAATAATATAATAATCATAATTAATGATAATGTTAAAGGTTTTCAAATTGATTTTTAAAATCGAATAAATTGTCAATCGTACAATAACTAGTATTTTATACCTTTTGTGCTGTAAAATTAAAAAAAAACACAATAATACATTATATTTCTCATTTTACAAAAAAATACATTAAGCTTTTCATTTTATAGAATAATTATTTTTAAATTAAAACAAGAATTTATGACTTGATAGGGGTACTTTAGTCTTTTCATATTTTCTATTACAGGGGGTTATGTGTCTAATTTCATACCATAAGGGGGTCATGTGCAAAATGTCCAAACCACAAGGGGGTTATGTGCCTAAATTCATACCATAAGGAGGTCATGTGCAAAATGTCCAAACCACAAGGGGTGAAGTGCAATTTACCCTTGAATTTATCTTCTGTCAATATATATGTACGTCAGTTTTAGTGATGTAACTAGACCACTTCCTAACTATAATATCTATGATTCAATATTTATAATAAATAAATAAATAATATCTTACGATTTAGTGAGTGACCTGTAAATTTCCCCTGCTGAAGTAGGAAAAATATCTGAGGAAGCATCTGATGATATTAACCAAAAAGCATTTTTTTCAATAAATAATCAAAGAAGCTTTGCTGCAAGATTAACGCGCCAAATTATATACAACTGCCCATACTGGCCGTTACTCTCTTTCCTTTTTTTTGTTATTTATAAATTTTCAACGATAAAACATATTTGATAAATTTAGTTAATCGTACAAAGCAGTAAGTAGGTTGAGATTAAAGAATTTAGAGAGAGAAACTTTAGAAGTAGGCTATAAGAACCTTTCAGACATGCCCATAACTATAATATAGTAGTTAATCAATGAAATTAAATGTCCTAATTTCTCGCCATCAACTGTTTATGAGGTTATAATCTTAGTTGTAATAATCGTTCAATGTGTAATTGCAAAAGAAAAAAAACTAAAACATATTATTACAAAATTAACGATAAAACATGTTTGAATAATTAACGATGTTCGTCTACTAGAACGATAATTTCCGGAAAAAATATATATACATGCATGCTACTTTAACCTTTCGATACACAGTTCCTAGTCGTTGACCCTAATTTTTCCAAATGGAAGCATCTGATGAAATCTGTTGTTCACTATTATATATAATAGATGTTTGTGTTATTACTTAATTTTATCGTGCCTAATTAATCACAAACATCTCGAAATAAAGTCAATAAAAATCAAAGCCATCACGCGTGTATACATTCTTACCATAACATGTACAGTGAAAATTCTGATCTAAGTCACCTCTAATTAATATATTAAATAAATAACTTCAACAAAGGTGTTCCAATTATCTATAACAGTTACAACTCTTAGAACCCTATATATTCGAGTTATACACAGTTAAGCATTCCCAATTATCTAATCATCAAAACAAAAGCAAAATACTTCCATTATATTATTCGAGTTAACTATCGCAAATGGCGGAAAATAATCATCAAGCAGGAGAAAAGGCGTACGCTTCACCGTACGGCCGAGTCGACGAAGAGGTAGCATCGGTTGCACAAAAGAACGAAAAGCGCAAGAAACGAGTGAAATGCTTCACATACGTCGCCGTTTTCATCGTAATCCAGTCCGTTATTTTCATGATCTTCGGCCTAACGATCATGAAGGTACGTACTCCCAAGTTCCACGTCAGATCCGCAACTTTCGGCGCCTTCGAGGTGTCCACGCTGGACACAAACCCTTCCTTCAACATCAACATGATCGCGGATTTGTCGGTCAGAAACCGGAATTTCGGGCAGTACAAGTACCAGAACAGCACCGTGGAGTTCTTCTTCAGGGGGACCAAAGTCGGGGAGGCGCGCATTGTCAGATCCCGCGCGAACGCGAGATCCACTCGGCGGTTTCTGGCCACGGTGGATTTGTCGTCGGCGGGAGTTCCGACGGAAGTGCTGGCGAACGAGTTCAGAACTCACGCTTTGATTCCGTTGACTAGCCGGTCAACGCTGAGGGGGAAGGTGGAGATTATGAAACTGATGAAGAAAAACAAGTCCACCAATATGAATTGCACTATGGAGATTATGATCTCGTCCAAACAGCTTGGGAATATCTCTTGCAGATGATTATATTATTATTTATTTTTGTACTAAATGTTTGATTTTAATTTTAATTGTTCTTCCATTTCCTATTATTTATTATTTTCGTTTTGAACGATACTCTTTGCATGTATTCGGTACTTTGTTGTAATAAAATTATTCCTTTTAATTTCTTTTAATATATCGTGTGTTACATTTATATTCTTAGCACATTTTGTTTTCCTTTTTCAAGAAAAAAAAAATATTTTTGCTCATTTAAAATTCTAAAAATCCATTTATCTTAAATAAATTTATTTAATTGTTGGCATTTTTTTTTTAAATTCATTTATGAATGTAATAATATTTCATGCCAAAAAAAAAAGTTGTTCCAAATAATATCGACCTTGAGCCTCGCCTAATTATATTGGGCTGCACTAGCTATTTCTAAAACTTTCCATAAAAAGTAAACCCAATGCTTCATACAATAATTAATGGGCCTAAAAGCCCATACTGATAAGCTATTCCCGGCCCATCCAGTAAAAAAAGCCCACAGTACTTGCGTGTGTTTGAAGTCATCATTTTTTTAGAAGAGAAAGCATCATATATTATATGCCATCAGCCGGTTTATTCTATGCTACATATAATTCTATGCTATATAGGATGAAATACTTCGGATATAGCTTTACAATTCATGTATACATAAATTAAACACATACATTAGTGTGTGTAGATCAACGGTAAAAATTCACCCGGTATAATTTTCACCGGGTGTACATCGTTATCAGCCTTATCAACTGAGATACATTGAATTAGGTTCGGAATATTCGTAATTATTAACTAATTTAAACTATACAGAATGTGGGGAAGATGGAGCAAATGAATTAAGTCCTGGGCCAATTCCGTAAAAATAGGGTAAGATATGGAATTTAGGAGACACAATTATATAAATACAAGGGACATTGCAAAATCTATGCTTTGTTAATGTCGAGTGGTTTTGTTTCCTTAACTCTTTTTTTGTCTTCATGCATCTTAACCCTATTTAATTACTTACAATAAGCACTCTAATAATTGTTCATGTTTCCTATTATCTTTGATCATGCAATTAACTTAATTAACACCTTGTGTTTATCATAAATATATTACATCAAAATAGGGTAGTATATTATTGAAGAGGAGATTACATATCAACAATGGGAACAGTGAGTATCTAACAATTCCTTGGAATATTAAATAATGTCCCAACTGCTTTATTAACAGTTATATTATTTATTTTCTGTTAATAACTAGGTTCACTGAATCAAGCCTTGTTAATATTTTGTTGGTTCAAAAAATCATAATTTTGTAATTTTGGGGATATATATTTCTGAAAATTGAAATTACTTAAAATCGATTTCGTCTTATCTTTTTTGTTTACAATTTTAGATACTCCATCTGTTCCATAATATATGTCTCTTTTGAGAATTTTTTTTTGTTCCATATTATCTGTCACTTTACAATTTCAATGTTGCATTAATTGCTTATTTTTTAATTTTACCCTTATTAATTCTATAGCACTCTTCATGCATTAATTAATAAACAAGGGTATTTTGGTCCATCAATATTTTTTTTTTCCTGAAATCAAGATATATTTATTAAGATTCTTAAGATTTGTGCCAAGGTGAAAAACGATACTTATTTAGGAACGGAGGGAGTATAAGATCATGATTTTAATTTAACCAGAACCATTCTTTAGAAGCAGTTATCTTGAAGATGCTATAATTAACATGTTTACTTGTGTTTCAGGCAATTTTTCCCAAGTACAAGTCGTCCTAGGAAAATTTATAGTAAAAAGGAAAACATATAGGGACAACTTAATTATTTACTTGCAAAAAAAGGCCAATAAAGCTACCAATTAAATATATGTGCTCACTTTAACTAACACAAAATTAGGCAGATGATCAGACTACAATTAGGCAGTAATTAATGGTCCAAACACAACCAGCTAATTCAAATTTTACGATGTTATATAAATTAATTATTTTGTGGTACGGATATTTATATTGACATTGCTCTAATACAATATTGAATAATCACACGAACCAAAAATTTAAACTAGTAAAAAAATGTATCATTTAATATTAATATTAATATTTTCGATATCTATTAATTATTATCACATTTTTCTTCCATTACCAATAAATATAGGTCGTTGAAAAAACATGAGGAAGAGGTGCAAAGAACCAACGCTCCTCACTCCAACACTGAATCTCGAGAGAAATGATATTATAAAATTAAGTGAAGGTCATGCATATATAAAATGTGAACCTCATTAATTAATATACTGTTAGAGCAACTCCAATGGTAAAATATCAAAATCGAGCATCAAATATTAATTTGATACTCGTTTTATTATTTTGATACTCATATATTTCAACCGCAAGCATTAAATAAATCATCTAATTTTAAATATAAACATAAATATATTTAACATTGACACGTGTCAATTTTTAATTGATTTGTTGGGTAGTTAATGTTTTGATACATCTTTTTCCAGGATGCATTATCAAAATAACTCTCAATTTAATTCCCTTTGAAGATGAAAATTTATGTTTTGGAGCATCAAAATAGAAGTTATTCCATTTAGTTTCCCATTTAAATCATACACTGGAGTTGCTCTTAGTTGAAAATTAAATATCACTTGCATAATTTTAAAATTATTTAGCAACTAATAATCTTCCAAATTTTTATTAAACACGTGTCACTATTATTCGAGATTGATGGTCGACAAACATAAGGTCAATCTTATTTGACTTCTTAATTCTACAATTCATTCTTCTTAATTCCTACGGAAATTGCTAAGGAATTGTTGCCAGCAGATTTATTGGACTAGGTCTAATCGATCTCCACCATATTCCACTAGCCAATTTTGACATTCTAAATATTTGCATTTTAAGAAACCTAAATAAATAAAAAGAAATACACCAAATTAAACAACAAACTAATAACGTGGATGAAATGAAAATGAAAAGCATATTAAAATATTGCAATTTTTTACTTCCTTTAATTTACAGTCTTTTGACTTTGTTTCTTTTTCTCTTTTGTTTCCCACGTTGTTTGCTACTTTAGTTTTTTTTTTTGCTAAAGCACTTTTTTTTCTTCTTCCTTTTATTATAAAAAAAATTAAAAAAATCACTTTTATTTTTATTTTTGGAGGATTTAAAGATGAACGAATCAGGGCCGTTGATGATTTGCAGGTCAAACCTTTAAATACCGAGTCGGAGCCTCATCTGACCCGGTAAAAAGGAGAAGCATGCCACATCTGCAACCCAAATGGCTAAGCCCGTGCCCCGATGTCTGACCCGTCAGATTTTAATTTATATATTATGAAATTATCAAAAGCAAAAGCTGAAAGTTCACCCTCACATAACAATTTATTTATTTAATTTATTTTATTTTTTCTATTTCTCTCTCGTCTTTTCTTTTTCGCTCTTTTTTTTTTCACTTTCTTTTTGGACTTTTCTAGTCACCACCCTTGTGTGTTCCTTTACCAGAATTATTCCTTTTTGGCTAACTCACCTCAATTCTCTTGATCCATCATTTTCCTAAATATTCATCTAATTTAAATTTAACCGCCACCTCATACCATGAGGTAATTAGGTCAATTTATAAAAAATCCCTAATATTTGGTTAATTACAAATACCCCTCAATTATGAATCTTTTAAAATGTTCACTATTGTCAAATCATGTGGAATATTCGTCAGTTTGTATCCGTTATTTCTCATTCGAGCGCCACATTTTAAAACATAATGATCATAAGATGTATCTCTTAGCTTATAAATACCATATTGTGATACATCATAAATTATATTTTTACACAAAACGAATAAAAACTGGTGAACATTCCATGAAATATGCAAGATTATGTTGAATTGACACGACGTGTGATAAAATTCATAATCAAATCATTACATATAAATAGTAAATGAATAAATCATTCGTATAATGAAACTCCAACAATAATTAACAAGTGATACTTGATAGCAAAGTCACCCTCTTGCCTAACAAAGCACCCTAATAAATTAAACCCTTTTTATAAAGATAAAAAAATGCAGTTAAACTTTGACCCGAAAAGGACTTTACTTTAGCAAGTCATATGTCGAATTCATAAAAGAGAATAAATTCCATTTTTTGGGAATTCAACAAAATTCTTTTAGAAACAGTCCCTTTCGAGGATAGTTTTTGTCCAAAACTTTTCATGGTTTGGGTTTTGTGACCCGGCCCAATTGGATAGTCCAACAAATAGTCCGAATTTCAAAAGGCTGAATACAAATTACAGTCCCATAGTCTGCATAAATACCTGTACACTGACCCTAACACTGTGTTTGGCATCATCTTTTCTATCTCGTTTTTTCACTTTACTCCTCAGTCTTAATTGACAGCTCTTTAATTCTCTCTCCATACACGGCGTTACCCATTCATCTATATTTTAGCTTCCTCTGCTCTGAATTTTTTATTTCATCTAACCTCCATTAAATATTTCCTCTCTCTAATGGAAGCTCTCGGGATTCTGAAATTCTGGCGGAGTGCTATCGCTGGGGGTGACGTCAGCTCCGAGGGGGATGACGTGCTCAACGCGGCGTCCGGCACCGACGACGATGAAGCCGGCAAGGAAGAGGCGTTCTTCGATTTGGATTTCAAGTCGGAACGCGGCGATGCGGCGAGCAAGGATTTTCAATTCATCGAATCTCCGAGAGATGTTTTTCTGAGCAAAAGTGATTTCTCGAATTCGAAGAGTTTGTCGCCGGTTACCACCCTGCGATCAGCCCCTAAGTTTAAAGTGTTTATGCTAGGGTTCAAAAAATCGTCGAAATTCGAGAAGACTGAGTTGTCGAACGGCGAAACGAAGGCGAGTCCACTGAATCAGCTCTCGAAATCTTCGAAGCTCGAGCAGAGCAATCGCTTCTCTTTGAAATGCAGAGTGGCGGAGGCGCCGGCAGCATCTCCGGCGTTGACCAGAGATAACAGCTTGAGAAGCAAAATGCTGAAAGAAAACTACGAAGCTTCTTCCGACGTCGTTTCGTCGGAGAAATCGGTGCCAAAGTATTTGAGGCTGATTAAACCTTTCTACGTCAAGGTTTCGAATAAGACGAAATTGACGTATTCTCTGACTCCGTCGTCTTCTCCGGTCACCGCGCCGGTGAATTTGTCTCCGAGGAAATTCTCCGAGGGGAGCAGAGTGGGGAGCTTTAAGATCGTGACGAGGAACCTAGTAAAGAGCCGATCGGCGTCGGCCGCGGTGGGGGCAGCTCCGCCGTCGATCCGCCGGAGAGACGATTCGTTGCTGGAACAGCATGATGGAATCCAAGGCGCTATTCTCCATTGCAAAAGATCCTTCAATTCTTCATCTCAAGGTACATTCCTCATTCCTAAACTATTATTTTTTGATTAAAATTGAAATTTTTGAATTAAAAATATCCTAAAAATCAATTTTATTGGTCAAAATTCAGAATATCCGCAGCTATCACGTGCCTCAAGCGAGCCTTCACAGGGAAGAATGGGAGGCCAAGGGAGAAATTCGTGTGAGGAGCAAAAGAGATGCAGCATTTGAATCCAACTACCACAACCAAAAAAAAACAAACACTACAAGAAAAAATGGTTTTAGGGACGATTTGTTATGGTTGCTAAAAGCAAGATAATGGTCGCTGAAACTTATAACGACCAAATTAGGCTTGGTCACTTGTGGTCACAACAGGGTGGCTACTAAAAGTATTAGTGACCAGCAAATCAGTTGGACGCTAAAGACATAGATCTAGCGACCATTCAATAATGGTCATTAAAGATGTAATTATCAGCGACAAATTTTTTACTCGCTAATGTTAAAATTTATGGTCGCTATAATATTAATATGGTTGCTATAGGTATACATACAGTAACCACATATTTTTGGTTGATAAATGATATTCTTTTAACAACCGAGTACGTGGTTACAATAGATTTTATATGGTCACAAGCGTAACGTATTTTAGTGACCACGTTGCGACCAATAAATTCGTTGCTCAATATAATAATTTAACTACAAGAATAGTTGGTTGCAATAAATTTTAATTTGTCACAAATATACCCCAATTGTTTGCATATAATAACCAAAAATAACAATTAATAATTCTTATTTGCAAAACAATCAAATAATGAACGAAAAACAATTGTTTATTGCTACTAATGACAAAAACCAAATAATAATTGTGAGGAAAAAAAATTGAATTGATAGCTGGTTACTACATATTAGCACCTAACTAATTAATTGTTGACAAGTGAATTAAATCAGTGATCAATCTATATCCAGTAGCAACCAAAGAAACCAAACACTGCCTCGCCGATTAAATTGAACTTAAAACCGCTGACAACATTCACATCTGGAACTTGATTGAAGTAATATCATTAGCTTCAACTGCCTCTGCCTCTCTACGGGTGCCTGAAATTGGGTGCCTGGAATTGGATGCCACAGAGAATCAGAAGATATACATGCAATTGTTTTCCAAATGTAGTGATCATATAAGCAACAAAAGCAACAAGGAAAATCTTATGTAATGAATTGATTTACCTTATCAGTAGAGCCACCAACTAAACTTTAGCCTCAACTGCAAATTTGGCATTTATAAGTTATAACCTACATAAGAGATGAAAACAGGGATTCAAGTTTATGAGAAACCAAGTCCAATGAATTTATCATAAGGAAACATGAAACCAAGAGTTGACTCGTGTTTGTTTGACGAGTTCTCGAAACAAAGGTTTAAAACATTTGTTTCCAGAATTTCTTTGAAAAATCATAACAATTGGTACGATTATCCAAATTGGGAACGTAATATGCCAAATGAAAGCTAACAACTGCACCTACATGTTCACTGAAGACTCTCATCACAAATTATGATCCTAGCATATTCAAAACAGGCCCAAAAGATGATTACAGAAAACTGCCAGAATTTCGGATAAATTCTTTTCTGGTATAGTTTATTGTAAAATTCATAACTATTTGTAAAGTTATCCAAATTGGCCAAACAATTTACCAAATCAAAGCTGACAACTTCATCTAAAAGTTTACGAAAGAAATATATCCCAAATTATTATCCTAAGACGGTAATAAAACCCAACGGAGATGATTCATCAAAACTGCCCTTTTTTTGGCAGACTCACTGCCGTCAAATTCTCATCTCTAAAAGGCTATAAAACTTGCTCGAATTAGAAGCAATTTAACACTTACATATAATAATCACGGTCCTCGACGAGTTTTGTGAAGAGACTGATTCGAAAATCTCACTCCAAACCCTTCGATTTCGACTCCGAAAACAGGTGCGGCAGAAGGTTTACTATTTCTCATAATTTCGCCAACATAGCTGTCGGGTTAAATTTGGTTATATAACTTGAAGAAATAACTAACAAAGTCTTTCTCAAATAACAAAGTCTTCTCACCTCGAGTTAGCACCAAAAGCAACATCATAGACCAAAATTTTCTTAGGTACACAACCACGAATGACACACCTGAAATAAGAATCCATTAGTTTCTTAAACTTCACCTTCGATCACATTACTTTAAACTTGTTGCTCAATGTGCATAAGACAAATTTCAAATAACTAATGACTCAAATAACTAATGACACATATAGATGCTAACTATGGACAGTAAACTAGAAGCCAACGATATTTGTTGTCACATTTTCTTCCAAAAATCGTAGCAGGCCGTACGCTTATCCAAATTGGGAAAACAATATACCAAATAAAAGTTCACAACTTTATCTACAATTGTGATGAAGATACCAACCCCTAATTACTAAGATAACACAACAATAACAGCCCATAAAGTTGAATACATGAAACTGCCAGAATTGTTTTGGACAAACTTGTTTGCTGTCACAGTTTATTTGAATAATCATAACAATTTGTAGAGTTATCCAAATCGACCAAATAATATACCAAATCAAACCTCACAACTCAATATACAAAACACCAGAAGACACATAGCCTAAATTATTATTCCAACATAACAAAAACAGCTCCGCATGATGATTAGGCAAAACTGCCCTGTTTTTTGACAGATTCGTTGTCGTCTGATTCCGACCCCTAAAAGGCTATAACACGTGCTCAAATCGGAAATAATTAAACACTACTCACAG